ATGAGTGTCAAGCTGCTGTTGAGAAACAGAATCATTAACTTGGTCATCAAGCATGGTGGTCATATAAAGTCTGTTAAAGATGTACAACAAGCAGTAGTTTTGAAGCACCGAAAGATCAACTTAGATATCTGAAGGTTCTCTTAAGTATCAAGAACAACACCAGTGAAAATAAATCTCAGGTGGAAGCTGCTCTTTACAACTACTTGATGAGAAGAAAAACAGTTGATTAATTTTCACCTCTAATACAAAGGAAAAAAAGGCATTCAGTGATTCTGAGTATTTAAACAATTCTAGCAATTGTGATAAACTACTACCTCAGGTGACCTTCAGTTATGAACACCAAGGCCAATGTGTTGCAATATATTATGATTCCAACCTTTAAATTGGCTGAGTCATTGATGTCACATCTCCATTCACTGCTGTGATAAAGTTTTTAGCTCCAACAAAGTGCAAAAATTATTATTTCCGATGGCCTCAATCAGATAATATTCTACAAGTGGAATCAACATTTGTTTTCAGATGGGACTTTGATGTAATGTCAGTTTCAAGTGATGGCTGAATATGGAGGGTAGCAGAAATATTAACCATATCAGATGAAGTGCAAAAGAACCATTCACAATGTCCAGAAAGTCTTTTATTTCAGTTTAAAACTGAAGATCTTTTAAAACTCTATTATAAAATATTTATTTTCCTTTTGTAAAACAAATTTCTAAGTTTTGTAGTCATTACTGTCCTGTTTTTGACAAGTTGAAAATTACATAATTTCACAAAATTTTCCCAAATAAGTTACATATATGACAAAGTTTTGATATTACAGTGAAAAGAGCTGTTTTGAATTCCTCGTCTCAACATTAGTAAAGTTTCGGGCAAATTACTTACTGTCAAATTTCACTTCTGACTGTTTTTATGTGGTAAAAATAATTTTATTATTATTAAGATAGTACTGAAAAAGAATCAGTTTCATCTCTGTGTTATGAAGTACAGGAAGAAGTTACAAGGCATTAACTGTTGAAATTAAACTGAGATGGTCTGTCAAATTTGCCCTTCTTTGTCATATTTTTATGATTTTGTTTTTGAGAACAAAATTTTCCCAATGTTTAGGCTAGCCTGATCTAAAAAATTTATCTAAATTTGGTACCATTTTTTATAGTTTAAGATCTCTATGCCTGTACTAAAGGTGTGTTTTTTTTTTTTGTTTTTTTTTTTTAGATATATTGAAAATAAAATTTTAGTTTTGAATATCTAGTTCTATTCACTATATTAGTTGTTCACTACTTTCTCTACAGAATGTTCATTGCTTTAATAAGTAGCTTTCTTCTGACTGCTTTGCCATGGTAGCCATGTGACAAAAATGTTATAGTGTTGTTTAGAGACTGACTTTAACACACCTTGCAATATTTGCTGCTTTGTAGTAGAGAAATGGAAAATCTCTATCTCATCTCACAAAGACACTTGTCTAATCCTGATCAATATGAAATGATGCTGTAATTTCCTTTTCTTATTTGAATTTCCAATTTAGATGCAATTTGATAGTGGCTCATGCCACCTTTTTATTGATGAAAAAATATATTCATTTTTGTAATCTGATAAGACATTGTGAAACAATTCCGTGTTTTTTTATGCAGTAAATTAATTTTCAGTCAGTATATCTGTAAAATTGTATATTGCGTCTTAGAGCTGTGTAGAATAAGTTATTCAAAAATCTTTTCTTCTGCTCTCAAAATTCATTTAATCAGATTTTTAAATTTTGGTGGCAAGCTTAAAAAAAATAAATTAAATCCATTTTAAGGCTTTTTTTTTTTTTTTTTTTTTTGATTTAGTTGAATTTTGAAAGCAGAAAAAAGATTTCTGAATAACTGAAGGGTAATGCAAGGATATCAAATGTTTTCTGTAATATTAACATTCACAATTCAGAAAAAATTATTTTTCTTGTACATGTGTTGCAGAGTAAATAAGACATCCCTGGCAATGCAAATGAACTAGACAAGGCGCTTAAAATAAAGAACTGAAAGTGAGTCAGTCAGGAAGAATTTCTAATGATGTCACAGCGAGTAGCCTATACAAGACATAATATTATAAACACGAGTAGAGAGTTATAACAATGGTGATGAGGATGAGATATACGGAATATGAAAAATACTTTTTGCTTTGGTGCACATAAGTGACACTGAGAAATTAGAACCACATTGGTTTAATTTTTAAATTTTAAAGAAAGAAAAAAAATCTTTAAATGTGAAAGAATTATTAACCCAAGTGGTAAAAATACAATACAACATGTTAGAAATTGTCAAAAAAAGATTTGATTAATTAAATCTATCTGAATTTCTGGGATGAGATATTATCATTATTTACATGTGAACTATTGTGCTCATCTTTGTTGTTATCATGTTTTCCTATGGGACAATAGCCTAGTGGATTAAAGCGTTGATTCATGAATTTAGTGACATAGTAATTGTGAGTTCTATCCCTTGACCAGGCAGTGTGTACTTGCATTTAATAGAAACAGGACGAACAATAACTGAGCAGTACTAAAAATAAGAACTAGACGAGATATCTGGAGACATGAGCAGTGGAGCGAGAACAGTTTACTCCCATAGATTAAATAAAAGGATCAGTTCAGAATTCTTTGTAGGTTACCTGGATTGATATACATCTGATGGATTGCAGAGATGTGATGATAACAAAAATGCAGGCAATAGTCTGCATGTAAATAATGTAAATAATAATTAAATCTAGTTATATATTTTATTCATAATTGTAATTTAACATATTTTCTCTTATTAAATTTAGGGCCAATATTGTTAATTCAAGATTTCATTGACCAATTTTGAATCATTTTTATAGTTTGAGGTTTGCTAATATATTTTTCTATAAACTTTTAAATTGGAAGTTTATTGAAATTTGATTATCAGCTTTTCCATTTCTCAATGAATCTATAAAAGTAATTTTTTAGCCCTTTCTTTTTATTATAAAACTAGCAGTAGAGCCCGGCGTTGTTACAGGTAACAGTAAGAGATAGAGATATAGATCAAAAGACTAAAAATTGTTTTTTATGGTTGATGGACACGCATGTCTTAATTAGTTTTTTTTTTTTACAAATTGGTCAAACCCAAACTCAAACAAAGCATTGTTTTCAATCGTTATGAGTCTACCGATTGAATAGAATTTTATTATAAACAATTGTCTTGTAAATGGAATTTTTAAAGCATTCTGAATGTAAAAATAAAGAAAAAAGTGTGCAAGACAATAAGAAACTGCCAAAAAAAGTGAAGTTTTGTTGAAATCGGTTGAAAAATGTAAGAAATCCGATCCCATATATAAACGAACATGCACACACACACACAAACAACTGGGTTTTTATAATAAGTATAACTCGATATGAGTTGTCCCCCTTTCATTCTGTGAAAGCGATGCCTCTTAATCGTGTTTTCAAATTGATTTCATGAAAAAACAATTGTGTTTTTCCAATTTTTGGCACTGTCAGAACCACCGTAAGGTAATTTTATGTAGTCCTGTGAAGTTTAGTTGAAATCAGTTGAAAAATGTAGGAAATCCGATCCAATATATAAACGTACAGACACACACACACACAACCTGGGTTTTATAATAAGTATGATTAATAGAAATTAAGAGTACACATTCAGTCACTAAATATTCTTTTAAACTATCATTCTACCCTTTTTAATTATTGATAAATTTTGAATAGTTTATCATTTAGTGTTAAATTCTTATGCCTTTCAATAGGGGGTTTTTAGGCCTTTCTATAGATTTGTAAAATTAAAAAAATTATTTAACATTACATGACACTTGTAGATATTAGGTTATTCAGAAAATGTCCAATTTTAGAATAAACCTTTTGTGTTCTAATATATTTGCACAAAATTTATTACTCATTCCTTAAAATCTCGTCTTTGTTAGTTTTATATCACTCTCTTTCAGAATTTAACTTAAAACGTTATATATGTCTCATCTTGAACATGAAAAAAGAAGAGATGTGTTTACTTTTTTTGCATGAATTCAAGTTTAGTCATAATGCTTCTCAAACTGTTATTAACAAAACATGGGATGAAGAATTCACTTGTTATGGAACAGTAAGATGCTGGTTTATGAAGTTCTGCAGTGGGGATGTGAATCTTGAAGATCAAAGTGGTGTTCATTTGCAAATGACAATCAACATCTAAAAACATTAGTTGAACCAAATTCATGTCAGAGAAATGTCTCGGATGATAATGTCAGCATTTCAACAATATCAGACCATCCAAAAAAAAATTTGCATAGTGAAGAACTTGATAAATGGGTCCCACATGAACTTAGTGAAAGACAAAAACTATTTTGAAGTGTGTTCAATCTGTGAAATTCAAATGATCCATTTCTTGGTCAAATAGTGACTTGTGATGGGAAATAGATCCTTTATAGCAATTATAAATGATTGCCTCAGTGGATTGATCATGATGAAATATTCAAACACTTTCCATAACCAAAATTGTTCATTGTTTGGTGGTTCTCCATTACAGCTTTCTAGAATCTAAGCCACATATTACCAGGATGACACTACAGAAGTACACCAATTTGGAATACAAGACTTTGCCACATATCCTCCAGATCTACTACTTTTTCAAGCATCTTTAACAATTTTTTTGAGCCAAAAGACTTTCTGTTGCAAAAATTCAAATATTGCATTCAAAGATTTCTTGGCATCTAAACGTTTAGAGTTTTATCAAAAAGGTGTAAATAACATATTTTTTGTGGGGGGGGGATTTTTAATCTGACATTTATATTACTTTTAAATGTTATAGCTTAATAGCAGAAATGTATGGATGTTTGAGGATCTTATTTTGACTGATTTCAACACTGTCTAAATACATTAATTCAGGATTAAAAGTTGATTCTAAAATCAGACACTATTTTCTAAACAACCTCATATCAATGTCATAAAATACTATGTATTTTCCATTTGCTATATTTTCTTGAGAATATATTTTTCCTTTTTCTTTCCCCAGTTTGATGAAAGTGTAAGAATTTGGGATGTAAAGACTGGTAAATGTCTGAAGACATTACCTGCACATTCAGACCCTGTGACTGCTGTAAGTTTATCCTTTCATTTGTACATTTTCAATTTTCTGCTTTAGCTTTCTATTCTGAAAAGGCTTAAAATTGTTTTAAGTTTAAAAAAAGGAAAAAAAAGAAGTCAATTTTACCTGCCCAACTATATTTCCTTTGATGTAAGATGGATAATATTAAGAGAAATGAATTTTTAAAGCATTGTTCATTCAATGAGAAAATGTTGTTTACGGTCACTTAATGAATGGACAGCAGTGATTTGTTGGCTTTTAGTTGCAAATAATACACAATTATTAAACAGTTATAAATTTAATTTGGTGTCTATTATCTTGTTTTCTGTACAAATTTCTAAGTAAAAATAAAATATGAGATCTTCAGAATTATGTGTAATAAAAACCTACTTTTCAAAATATTCGTTGGACTGGTCACATTTGTCGAGCCACAAACATAAAATTATCACTAGTTTCAGTAATATAAATATGCTTGGTTTAAAGCAAGGATGCTTCTGAAATGGTAAGAATTCATTTGATTGACATTTAGAGGGTGGACTTACATTTGTATTTGATAATTAACATGAAATATTAGGAATAAATTTTAATATCAATGACATAGAAAAGATGAAAAAATGTGACTCTTATATATTTTGTTGGAGATTGCAATAATTGGAATTTTGACTTTCAGTAACCTATATAGTGTCTATATATTACTTATGTTCCAAATTGAATAAAAGAACTGTTTTTTTTTTCCATTTGAAACCACAAATATTGTAATTGCTTGCTAATTAAATGTCTTACTAATTTTAGTTTTACTCATTATTAATCTTGAATAGATTGTAAAGGTATTCATTGAAATAACTGACCAAATATCATTGAGATTTTTGTCTCATTCTCTTCATTAAATCATGATGCATTTTATTTGCTCATTACTAATTTATATCTTGAGAATTTTGATAAAACCATTATTCATTTTCTCATGTTACATTTATCACTTTTTTTTCTTTTTTTTTTTCTGTTGAAAATCGAAGCACAAGGGAAATAATTCTTGTGATGTATGCCTTGATTTTGAGAATGGTATAGTCATCTTGGTTGTGAGCATAACAACTTTTTAACCTTGTTCAAGTGTCTCTTACTTGGTAACCTTCTTAAGATTTTGAACTGTATGCATGGAGGTAGATTGTTCGCTTTCCATTTTCTAGATTTAGGAGATATCTCCTTTCAGTTAATACCAAGAAAAAGTCTTTGTGTCAGTTGTCTTGTTTCCACTGAACCAGCATATGTTACTTTTCAGCATAATCTTGAACTCAAAACTGCTAGAGAACCAGATATTTTTCAACTAATGTTTATCCTCTAGAATTGTTCTCTGTCTATTGACTTAATTGCATAGGGATTGATAACCATATATGATCTGGGTGGTCTTCAAACCCTATGGAATCAAGTCAAAATAATAAACAAAGAACAGCAAAACAACTGAAAAGATCAGTACATATGTTAGACATTGACAACCTTATCAGCATAGAGATGAAGGATTAATAGATAGGATATCTCCTGAACATGGAAATCAGAAGGAGTGCAATCCATCCTCATAGACTAAATAAATGGTTTGATTTGAAATTCTGAGATGATTACTGGGTACTATAACAGGTACCTGAAAAGGCCACAACAGTTGACCTGTTGAGAGGATAACAACCAAAATGAGTTTACTAGTCCAAATGGGAAGCTATATAATAATTCCACATCTCAAAAATGTCAGCATAAATTTTCTCTAAATTTCTGGAATGAGGAGATATTATTTACACTTTGTCTAATATCCTTATATTTGTTGTTATCATGATATTTTAGTTGTTGTGCCCCCCCCCCCCCAATCCTTCGTCGGGAGTTTATTGGTTTGAGTAACATTCAGGGAGTTTTGAACTGAACCCTTTATGAGTGTATATCATTCTCATTCTGTTCTCCATGTCTAGAAATATCTGATCTTGTTTTTATTTAGTACTGCTCAGTTATTTCTTGCCATGTTTCCACTGGGTCTAAGTTTAAATCTATACTATCCAACACAGAGACCTAAAAATGAACAGTGGAATGAGAAAGATTATTTTTTTCTTAAATTTTTAATGAGTGAAAGAAGAGCGACGTTTAAATTCTGATTGAAATTGTTTGTATTCACTTGGCACTAATGCACATAGGAAAGGTATGAATTCATTTATTTTCCTCTGCAATGGATAAAATAGAAGAGTACACTGATCTCTCTAATTTTGGTTTGCAACCAGTCTCCTAGAACAACACTGAATTCAACTCTGGTTTCAAACCCCTGTAAAGAAGAGTTGAGAATAACAATTCCACCCATAAAAGCTACTCATTACTGAAACTGCAGCAGTATTACTATATAATGTGAGAAATATAATGACTGCTAATAATGTTGTCTGCCATAACTGTGTGTATGTTTCTCAATAATACTTGCAAGGATTTCAATTAAGTGTTGTACATTATCTGAATTATACAAGTTTTTAAAATCATGTAGTTTTGAAGAGATTAAGTCACTCTTTAAAATTGTTATAACAGCAACATTTGGCAATAAAAATCATTTTTCAAATAACTAGAATTTAGGACTTAAATTTTGTTGATATTTTTCAGTTTGATCCCCACTAAAAACTGAAGCTCTATATTTAAGGAATTTGTGTAGCTCAACATGGTTAATTTAAAATATCTTCACCAAAATATGTTAAACTATATGGATAAAATGCAAATTGTTCTGCTTATTTGCTGTGTGTGTGTGTGTGTGTGTGTGTGTGTGTGTGTGTGTGTGTGTGTGTGTGTGTGTACAATGGAAGTTTGCTGGTCCAGGGTCTAGTTTATTGTGATTAGAAATCGACCAAAACAAGAAAGGCTCCAGACAGCCTGTGCATGAAGCTTGGTTCTGCTAAAATCGAAAGTTCCTTATTCTTTTGATTGGCAAAAATTATTTTATTTATTTCCCAGCATTCCTTACTTTTCTTTTTATAGCGAAAGTTATGCACGGAGTCTCTCTTGTTTTGCTCAATTTCTAGTCACAATAAACTAGACCCTAGACCAGTGAACTTCTGTTTCACAGCTGTCATTCTACCTTTTCTTCTATTTCTACTTTTTATGTGAGAGTTACCTTCTTATTAATTGAGTGAGAGAAGATATAGGGATTATTAAAGAAAGCAAATGCCTTATTTTAATTTTTATATTTGGCACACCGTGTGTGCATGTGTGTAAATAGATATTGCATAAGTAAACAATAACTACATGCACTTGGATTGTTTCATATCAAATCACCTGGTTCTTTCCACATTACCCTTTAATTCCTTGAAATCTACAAAAAAACGTCAGTTTCAAAGCTGTAGGGACTGAATGTTAGAATCTGGACAAAAGGCTCATTTGGCAAAATGCATAAAATGAAGTATAATTTCAGAGGTTTTTAATTTAAAAACTATTAGTCATAGAGACCTGACATTTTTGAATTTTCCACCATTTTCATAGAGGAAGGCATGTAAAGTTTTTTAGGAGAATCTGAGAAAGTATTCTGAGGAAATTTTCCTAAAATTGTTTGATTTGATATAAAGTGATTCATTTGAAATTTTATTCAAGATCAATAATAGAAATTCTTAAAAGAAGCCAGTTCAGATCTTTGAACATTTCCTATATATCTTAAATTCATTCACTATCAATTTGCTTTATTTTTCTTCTCTTTATTCAGGTTCATTTCAATAGAGATGGTTCACTAATTGTATCAAGTAGTTATGATGGTCTATGGTAAGTATAATTTAAATTTTTGTATTCTAAGTCTCTTTAAATTATGGATAATACTCATTAGATTTAATAGTTTTTGAATTCTTGACAAGTCTTATTTGTTCTTTATTTCTGATAGGCTGCTTGATTGGCACTTGGGAAAATGGATGTCTGACAAGTATAATGGAAGGACTGAGAAAAGATTAATAATGAATATATTCAACTGTTTTCTTACTAGTTTTCTAAGAAGTAACAAGATAAATGTTTGCTGAGCTGTCTTCTGTCTTATTCAATACATAAATTATAAAACCATATTTTAAAACTTTTAACTAGGACTACTATTAGAAATTTTACAGCTTTGAAAAGTTTAAGTGATATGTATATGTTAAGAAAGAAAGAATTCCTAGTAGCTAATGTATTCTTACAAACCATTCAGAATCAGATTCATTAAAAAAAATCAACGCAAAACCATTTTTTGTAATTTGAGACAATTCTAATAATTTTTTCTACAAAGTTAATCAAAAAGCATATCAAGCAAAATTAAACCATTCAGAATTTTAAAAAAATTTAAATTCCTTTACACATAGGAATTTTAACTGAATTTTGATCCAAAATTTTAAATATATAATGATAGATCTGTGATCCATGGATAAATATTGGATTAAGTGTGTTGATAAGATGTTAAAAATAAAAAAATAAGTATTTGTAATATGTATAAAGTAAATATTCTTTTTTTTTTTTTTTTTTTTTTTTTTTGTAAGCTTAGGCCAAAAACTTTTTGACAGGTCCCTACTGTTCCAAACTGAGTTAATGGAATTTATTTGTATATTTATTGCTACTGTGAATTGATTAAACTTCCTTTAAATATTGATACAAAAAAATTGTAATTTACTATTAGATAATTTGATATTTACTTGTTCATATTGGGGATTCAGTTAAATTTGACAGCACAAGACCAGATTTATAATGCATTTAATAAAGTTCAAATTCAGTATTAATGGCTTTTAAACCAGGACATTAGTCACTGCTATAAGCATTCTCTCAGATATTTAATACTTACTACTTTAATAATGCTAATAAAAAAAAAATAATGAAAAACGATTTAATATTTTTTTCATTGATATTGTTGTGTTGTGGGGTCTGACAAGACATAACACTTAACTCAACAGTCATGATAGTATTCAATACTCAGCTAGACAAGTCACTGCCATAGTATTATCCTCTTTCTAGCCATTTACCCAGGATTGCTTATGAATTGTCTGATCCATTCATGATAGTAAGGAAGGTAACTGGCTCTTACCACAACATCTACCCTTTTGGGACTTACTTCCTATAGAAGTTATACATTTTTCTTTCTGGGTTAAGATCCAACACTTCTGTAGGTTGTCGTTTCCAAAGCTATTTGGGGCATAGATACATCGAAAATGTCATACAGAACCACCATTGACTTCTCCATTCATCCAAGTATGTTTTTCTTATTTGATTTAGATGTCTTTTATGCATACATGTAAACCCATTTATCATTTACATTAAGTTTTTAATATATCTCTCGACTATCCCATCTTCCCCACAATACTTTTTCACCAGGTTTGAAGTATTTCTGGGTATCAGATTTTTTCTTTTCGACCCCCTTTTTCTTTTTCT